GCTCTTACCCGTCAAACACTGCCTGCAAGTACTCGCATCTTCCTTTAAATCTGTGCTGACACAAGGATTCAAGACTCTCTAGCCTTAAAGAAGCGACTGAAATTCTCCAACGAACCTTGGCTTGCATGGAAAAACCTCCTTGATAACCTGTGCTCGTCCTGAACAACTCCTCTCTGTCTGAACTCGTCTTCCTGTAGGTCGTTCAACCTGGACCTAAGTGCCGCCTCCCTGCGGCCGCACAAACCCCGGCCGTCGCGTAGCCCCGACATTCTTCTTATTGAAGCAGGTTCAATACGGCAAAGCCCCAAGTCCGACTCCTCCATCCAAGCAGGTTGTGGAGGCTTCGCCTCAGAAGGTTTCTGAAGACTTCGGTGTCCGAACTAGGCCTCTATCCACCTTTCTCCGCCTCTCCTCTCTTCCCCAGGGCACGGCGTGCAAGTAGGCTGTAAGATTCGACGATTCGAAGGTTTCCATGGTTCTTCGGCTTATACGGCTTACTTACAAGCGAAAGTCCGAACCAGCCCTGTGCCAACAACCACAAAACCTGTAATCCTTGAGCCGTTAAAATCCGCCGAGGCCAGAGGCCCAGGCGTCTTGGGGTTTACCTCAAGTACCCTCCACCTAATCCTCCTCTTTGCGGTTGGAACCACCCGCTTTTTGCGTCCCCCGCCCGGCTTCCCTTGATTTTACCTGATTTGTCGGCCTTTGCCTCCTCGACCCCCTCACTTTTTGCTGTTCAACGTCTTTCCCCTTCCCTGCTCCTCTCCCCTTCCCTCCCCTCCTCCTTCCCCACCCCTTGCCAACTTGCAATAGACCCGCCTTGCCCTGCCGTTGCTGCCTCTTTTCTGTCTGCATCGCACCAACTCTTGCTGTAACCGTGTACTGAGCACAAGTGGCTGGATACCTGAAAACATGCTTGCCGCGCATTCAGGATGAGGTAGATCTACCGCAATCTGGTCTCGCAACGATACTCTGGCAGCAAACAACGCTTTGCGTGAGTAGACTACTCATGCAAAGCCGCAGCTTTCCGTGCCCTCTGACCCTCAGCAGCCGAGGCGGGGGTCACATTAAAATTAAACCCTAGAACCAAAAGCCTCAACCATATACCCTAAGCCTGACAAGCGCTACACCATAAACCCAAGCCTTGTACCCAAAACACCCTGCGCCCCAAACAAACTCTTCCCCGAAGCCTTGGTCAGCTCCCGGTCGACGCTCACCCTGAGGCTGCGCACCTTGTAGGTCAGGTGTCGACTTTCATGCGGGGGCATATAGGCATCAATGGGGTAAGCTCGCCCCCAAAGCAGGTTGGATCCTAGGCGTGGCTCTGTACGAGTGAAGTTTAGAGTGAAATTTGGCGGCTTCGGTGACTGCGTGACAAAGGAAACTCCAAATCCCGTTGAGCTTGATCCCCACATTGAGCTGGGAATGCAAGTGGGCTGCACTAACATGACCTGGTTTCTGTCACTGGTGAAACCTAACTTCGCATCGTCGTGTTGAGAAGCTTCGCTTGAGCGTGAGTTGTCTCTTAATTGATCTGCATCGCACTGAGACGCTTCACATATTCAACTCTAGAAAACACCTCTGTTGGAGAAGGTTCTACACTAGGTTGGCTGGTATGCTTCATCTGCTCGGCATGTCTTTGCTTACGTCCGCGTCGTGTTTGATGAGAGGCATGGGCCAGCATATACATCTATACGCATATACGTATAAGCTTCTATGAACAGCTGCGCGCATGTGCACATATACAGGTGTGTGTACATGTACGCACAAACACATATATGCGTATTTACATATACACATGTGCACTTGCGTCTGTCTGGATATATATATATATGGTACCCCCCCCTCCCAAAACCCACCCCAGAATATCAAAGCCTCCTCTCGCTGAATATGAAAATGATAGTTGGCCATGGCTCCAAGACAACACACGGAAGGGGTGGCACAAGGATGCTAAATGATAAGATGATGATGAAACTA